TGTTCCGCTGTTTTCACCCACTGGTCAAAGGAAGGACTTTTTGACATGAGATCTCATGGTTGTCTCCCTGCCCTACTTTTACCTGGCCCTTCTCTATCCTCTGCCCCATCAACCTTGCTCCATCTGAACTGGATTCCCAACAGTTGTCCCTCAGAGGAAGACTCGGTCAACAGAAGAGCCTTACTGGTTAGTTTCACAAGTCTACAGGCCAAGATTGCTGCATAAACATCCATCCTTATCATACTTCCTTCGTTTCTTTCTCGTTTTAGCTGCCAGTTTCACATAGCCCCCCATGATTTCTAGTTAATACTTGTTACCAGTTTCCAAAGATGGCAGAAATCATGCTGTCTTCCCTGTACTTCCTCCTCTTCACTTACTGACACCAGATTTGGGATACCTTGTCACCTAGGTTTTCTTAGATATTATATTGTCTATGGGTTTCACCTTTTGCCATCAGCATAGGTCTGTTTTTAATGCAGAGATTCAAAGAGAGTAACAACTATGCTTCTCTCATAACTTCTAATTTCTCCATAAACTTTTAATAACAACAAGGTGGGTATCTCTGAAAATCACTAAAATACAGAAACAAAAATGTCTTTCATATATAAAGAGTGCACAGTAAGTATCCATAATTATGAATTACAAATAACCAATTAAACACATCAGACATATGCTTACATTTTCTGCAAGAAAATCTATGCTGGGATTATGAAACATTGTCTTTCAGGCAGAGATTAGCCTAAATAAGTATCCTAGGAGACTGAAACAGGCTTTTGAAAAAGTAAGTCTTGCATTTGATTAGAAGATTCTGTAGCTTAAGATATTTCTGGGATCATTTCCAGGAACACATACATAATTTACAGTGACTGACCACTCAATGCTAACAATAATTCTGTTCTCCCAACCTTAATAATAAATGCAGGAGAACCAATTTGAGGGGTGAAAAAAGGCAATCTCTCATTTTCTACCAATGAATGTCAAATTCAAGTGCATCTGCATGAAACATATCAGTATCTAAGTTTGATAGTTTAAACATGAAATGAAATCTACAGCTTTGACTCTTTGCTATTATATAAAATTAGAAGTTTATTTTATAAAAGTATGTCCTAAGACTAGTGGTTCCCTTTCAAATTTAATAATCTATTAAAATGTTATAAATCACTTACTTCTGCTTCTAAGAAATAAAAACATAAATGATCTATATCCAGGGTCCTCAGACAACTCAGAGCTGCTACATGTAGCTGGGAGTATACATAATTACAAATTTAGGGAGAGAAGGTGCTGTGGATATTACACAGCAATTGACAATATAACAGCAACATAAATAAATCAGTTGAGAAAAAACAGTCCATAAGAGGGACTGCTGCAGATAGACTTTGAAGGACAAGCAGTATTTCACCAGCAGGAAAAGTAAACAAAGGACATACAATTCAGTGAGAACAAAGTAAAATGGAGATATGAAAAAGGCAAAATAATACTGACACAGTAGGGATCTGTCAAGTAATCTGAGTAGGGGAGAGAAAAGAGTATTCATGCTGTAAGAACTATAAAAAAAATTTCAGATCGGTTTACTGGACTTCAATTGCTATTTTAGTCTACACTTGATAAACAATTTCAGTATCTTATCCTAAACACAAATTTTCAGATAAACCAAAAAGGAATAAGGGAGCACAACAAGAACAAAAAAAATGGCTGAAATGGCCAGTACCCTATGTCATCAGTCACAACTAATAGCCAAGTAGCCCTTGACGTACATAACCGTGCAAGTTTTTGCTGAAGCATCAATGATTACAGTATCATATTTGTTTCAGGTACACTAACAGAGTATATTAAATAGAATGTCGTACCTATGTTCACTGCTAGGATTTGATGGCTTCAGGTCTAACCTTTAGGTCTTTCATCCATTCTGAACTTATTTTGTATATGGTATATGGAAACATTCTAATTTCATTCTTTTACAAGTAACTGTCCAGTAGTCCCAGCACCACTTATTGAACAGACTGTTTTTAATCCATTGTATATTCTTGTCTCATTTGTCATAGACTACTTGACAGTAGGTGCCTGGGTTTATTTCTGGGCTCTTTATTCTGTCCCATAGATCTATGTGTTTCTTTTTATGCCAGTACCATGTTGTTTTGATTACTGCAGCTTTGTAGTACAGTCTGAAGTCAGGAGCATAATACCGTCAGCTTTATTCTTCTTTTCTCAAAAACTGCTTTGGCAATTCAGGGTTTTTTGTGTTTCCATATACATTTTAGGATTATTTGTTCTAGCTCTGTGATAAATGTCATGGGTACGTGACAGGGATTCAGTTCAGTCACTCAGTAGTGTCCGACTTTTTGAGACCCCAAGGACTGCAGCATACCAGGCCTCCCNAAATATATTTCTATTTCTTTGTATCATCTTCAATTTTCTTCAACAGAGTTTTATAGTTTTCATGGCAAAGGTCTTTCAACTCCTTAGTTTATTCCTGGGTAATTTTACTCTTTTTGATGCAGTTTTAGACAGGATTGTTCCTGTGTTTTCTGTTTCTGACATTTCATCATTAGCAAATAGTAAGCAGGGCTGGCGTGCTCACCGGGCTCAGGCCGTGGCATGCGATAGGGAAGGTGAGGGAAAGCTGGCAGCCGTCTCCGCACTTTTCAGTCTGCCCTCTCCACCCTGCTTTAGGAGCAAGCTAGTGCATGCCCACAACTCACAAGCAAAGTCCAGGCTTCCCACAGCCCTTCTGTGAGGCCCACCAGCTCTCCAACCAGCAAAGGAGCTCAATTTCCCTGTGCCAGCCCCTGGGCTGGGACACCCAACACGTGGCTGGAGCTGCTCACTCCCCAGGACAAATCTCCACCTGCAAAATCTCTCTTTTCCTCCGAGTCCCCTTCCAAAGGCACAGGTCCCAACCTGATCACTTCTCCTCCCTTCTTACAAGATTCCATGTGGCTCTTTCTTACATCCTTGGTTGTACAGGACTCTCTGAGCCAGTTTCTAGTTAGTTTTCAGTGAGAAATGTTCCACATGTAAATGTATTTTTGATGTGCTTGTCGGGAGAGGTGAGCTCCACCTCCTACTCCATCTTGACTGATCTCAATATTAACTGGATGCCTAGCCTATTTCAGTGCCTTGCCTACTACACGAAACACCTGCTAGAGAATCAGGAGAATTCATTTTTAGTACTGGAAATCAGCGCTTATATTAAAGACCAAGGCAACCACAGACAGTACAGTGAAAAATCAAAACGTAGCTAACTGGCCTGCCTGGTTCTAGCCACTACAAAAATACCAGAAACCACAGGGAAAGTACTAAATATTAAATTCCTGCTATGTCTTTTAAAAAGAATATTTTTCACAACTGATATCTAGCACAGTAATTTTCACAAAGAGAATGCTCAATAAACATTTGTCAAATTAAAAGTAAATCAAGGCACGGCTATAAAATGCATAATGTTATGTCACCCATTATTGTAATATTAGTAACATGACTTGGCCCTAAATTATTTTAATAAATCATATATAGACATTGTTCCATTGTTCACAGAATAATCAAAGGGGTACTGTGTCACTAAGAATTGGGGATTCAAATCAAAAGACTGAGGTGTTAAGTATGAAAATTTGCCATTGTCAATGGTGTTGCACCAAGTCACAGGAAGCTCTGGTCTCCGACCTGTCCTCTCTCAGCCATCCACGCCCTCAAGTGTACAGTGAACAGAACAACAATAACTATGCATGACACACCCTTATTGTGACAATCGAATGCGATCAGGCATGTCAAATGACTCTGTAAACTAAAAAGTGCTACCCAAAAGATTAATAAACTGACTTTTCTGGTTGACTGTCTACCTGCAGAGATATCTGCCTTTCCTCTCTTTCCTTTATTCTAACACACTCTGATCTATCAGCACACCCTCTAAATCCCCCAAGCATGTTCCCAACCCCTCACACTAAGTTTCCTCACCATCATTGCTTCTCATCAGCAGACCCAGAAGTTGCCCTGCAAACTTCTGCAGGCACCTTCCACTGCTCTCCACGCTTTTAATCTTAATCTTTCCACATTCTCTAATCCAGTGGCCCCCAACCTTTTTGGCACCTGGAACCGGTCTGACAATTTTTCCACCAACAAAGAAGGGGCAGGGATGGTTCGGGTGGTGATGCAGGCGACGGGGAGGGGTAGATGAAGCTTAGCTAGCTCACCCACCACTCACCTCTTGCGGAGAGGCCCAGTTTCCTAAGAGGCCACAGACTGGTCTGCAGACCAGGTGTTGGTGACCCCTGCTCGAATCCACAAAAAAGTCAAATCAATCTTTTAAATATTACATAGAATTGCATTGCTCACCTGATCCAATAGTCTCCTTTCTTACTAGGAAAGAATAACAACTATGGGGTTGGCCAATAAGTTTGTCTGGGTTTTCCCATAAGATGTAACATAAAAATCCAAACCTTTTGGTTAATCCAATACTAACCAAGGGCTGGTAGGCCCTTCACCTCCCCTCACTAGTGGCCCCATTTGTGATACCAGAGCGGCATTTCCTTCGAGAGACCGTAAGCACATTCCTAATGAGGGGCCCTTGCACTGCCTGGTGCCTCTTTCCAGAATGGTTAGGAACTTACTGCTTCTCCCTTTCTCACTTCATTCAGCTCAAACGTCACTGTCTCAGAATGGCCTTCCTTACCTTCTCAGATGAGTCCTTACCTCATCACTCTCCACCCTGTCACTCTGCTTTTCTTCAGAGTCCTTATTGGTTCTGAAATTATTAACATGTTTACTTATCCCCTGGGATATAAACAGCATGAGAGCAAAAAGACTCTGTCTGTTCCTGTTAACAATTGCATCTGAGTTATTTACATGGTTTAGGGGCTCAATTGAAATGCACTTAATGGATAGTGAAAAGACTGCTCAATTTCCTTTAGTTGATGTGTTCCATAGAAAACAGAAGAGTGCCCATAAATAACTTCAATGCCACTAGTAAAACCTGAATGTTTGAATGGCCTGAAAAGGCTTTATCTCACCTTGGAATTCGAAGTGGACTCCAAGAAGCAAAGTCTGTTGCCAAATCCTTCTGCTGCCAAACATAGTTTCTGTTGTTCTTTGTGGATGGTTGCGGTACACTGTAGAACCACTTCATCATCCTGCAAAAGGGATAAAAAGAGAAAAAAAAAGTGAAATTTGGCATGACTCAGTCTAAATCAGATCTAGAAGATTATTATTTTAGTGCATTTTAAAAATCAGAGAAAAATGAATCTAAGAAATGTCTTTCCAAAAGCCACACAATCAATTCCTAAAGCATTTTTATTTACCAAAAAAAGATAACTGGGTAGCGGGAGTCAGAAGAAGTTACTACCATTGACAACAATTAACAGCTTTTTGCAACTGACAGAGGAAACCTGAATAGAAAATGGTAAAAGACAGGATTTCTATGTTAGAGTTATTACACACTACTTTAAATCATCAAAACTATCAAGAAATGGTCTGACATACTCCTGGAACATCAAGTATCATCAAGAATGGAACAGAGTCTACCTGCAGGTGCACAATCACATTGTTCTAAAACTGACTCAGGAAAACAGGTCAATAACAGAGCTTCTGGGTTCAAAGCAACCCAAAAAATCATCTTAGTTCAACCATGCACTGGCAACTTGATCATCTGTGAAATAATCCTGGATTGCTTAAAAATTTACAGAGAGGTGACTTGTCAGTTCAATCCTCTGAGCTCCAAAACTTGGTTTCCAATCAATTACGTTCACAGAATTACAGGAAAAACTGTACAAGGGAAGGAAGATCCACAGGATGACGGCACAGGCAATATGAGCGCAGCAAGAAGCATGGGCTTCAGAATTTGCAGCAGCTGGGTTCCTATTCCAGTTCTGCCATCGACAAAGTGAGGAGAGAAATGAGATGAACTCACACAGTGACTGACATGCAAAAGGCCCTACAGCAGCAAGAAATGGGAGGTACCATGATCATTTTTTAACAAAATATCTCAGTTTAACAGGTTCTAAGTGACAAATACCTAAGTCTAACCATTTGTATTTTGATATTTCAATCTCAAAGAAACAGTATATCTAACAGAGAAGTAAACAAACAAACATACTTATCAACCCTTTTAATTATTATGAAGGTGAAAAGGGAATATGAGTACACGCTAGAAGACCCTCACCATGGTAGAATGGTAGAGAAGAGGTAATGTGACAAATATTCAAATGCAGAAAACAAGCCCTTTGGGTTAACCTGAAAACAATGCTATATCAACTGGAAAAGTACAGCTCTAATTTAAAACCTTTATCAACGCCATGTACTTGCTTTATTTCCTGTGTGGTAGCAGCAGCACCTAATAGCTGGCTCAGAGCATGGGCCAAAGCCAGGTCCAATCTCTTAATAATTACTTTCCAACTATCCCCCCAGTGCTCATTAATTTCCAGTGAGCATTCAATTGTTACATTTCAAAGTCAATTGCTTAAAAAAAAAGCCTTATTTTCATACAATGAGTACATCTAAAGATTACTTCACATTCAGCATGGCTATAATAAAAAATAATGAAGTATCTTTGTTGCTTATATAATCTGCAAGATCAAAGATACATTGTGTTTGCCAAATAGGTGGTGTTAATAACAAAGTGCTGAATTGTGCTGATGTGTTCAATGCCTTCCCAAATCCCCAGTGTCTTTGCTATCTTGTCTCACTGCCTCTGTGGAGCGAACTCCAGCATGGAAACTACACTCTTGGGTAAGATAGACTTTGGATACTAGAGGTGATCTATATACGAGTTAGGGGTCTTCCCTGCTGACCCAGTGGTTAAGTGTCCACCTTCCAATGCAGGGGATGCAGGTTTGATCCCTGGTGGGAGAACTAAGATCCCACATGTCACAGGCAACTAAGTCTATGTGCTACAATTAGAGAAGCCCGTGCACTAACAAGAAAAGCCTGTGTGCCTCAACAAAGAGTCCATGCAGTCAGAAATCTTCAATAAATACCACTTAGTAAGTAATTACTGCAGTGGACTAATTAAAGGCATTTTAGGAATGAGAATAAGAAAATACAACAAGGTCCAGGACAGGTAAGAATAAACAGTGCTACCCAGTAAGCTCCAAAGGAAGAGAAGGCACGTCACATTTACCAAAAATATAGCGAATACCAGTCCTGGCATTAATTTATTTAATCCTCCCAATATTCCAGCAATATACTGATCATTCACACAAACAGTTGAGGAAAACGAGGTTCAAAGTAACTTGCCACTCACAAAGGGCTGATCATACTTATTTCCAAGAATTGGTCATGAAACCTGAAAAGTCCTAGGCCCCACACTGGTTCTAACGGCTCAAGTGACTTTTCCTACTTCTGTTATCTAGAGAGGTACTTCTCTATCTTTAACATGCATCCTCTCACTCATGGGTCTTGGGTAGATTTTGCGTTTCTAACAAGTGCTCGAGGATGAGGGAGATTCAGAATGAGTCCCAGAAAGGACTGTGATCCCAGAAAATACATGGCAAGTCTTCTATAAGAGTTTGTAGGCAATCAGTAACAGTTGAATGTTAAAATACGTCATGGACTTTGGACAGAACTAGAAATGAGAGATGCTCATTAGTATGTGGTACAAACCAACTTATATAAGGGAAAGGAGCAAAGTACTGAACTACTCTATCAAACCAATAAAACCAGCTCACTGTGCAGTTTCCTTCCAATTGAGTACCTCGACATTGTGTGATGTAGTGCCTAGTCATGAAGTAACACTGAATTTACGGAGCTCCACCACACCACCAACAAAATAGTCTATGACTACGACTTTCAACCATGATCCAACCTTGATGGATAGAACCTAGCTTGACACACATATAAGATTTTCTCCAGTTTATCTGGGAGCTGATTCTACTTTAATTTCTGTAAGCAAAGCATTCCTTTTTGACAAAAAGTAAAATATACTGAGCAGTGATGGACCAAACATCAGTTCACAAACACCTGCAAATTCCCTTTAATTAACCCATCATTCATCTCATTTCACTATTTTTCTCCAGAACCACTGAGGTTTGATAGCCTACTGACTATGCATTTGAAAAGTTTTGACAACTAGTTTATTTTTAATTATTATAACCAATGTACAATAAATCTGGCTACGGTTGACACACACGTATGTGTATACGATATTGGTACACACACTCACACACGTAATCTATCCAAAAAGACAGATTAAACAGTGCCTGATACTGATTGGATCCAGAGAGTTAATACTGCTCAGGTAACAGAACAATAAGGATACATTAAAATATCACTTTGAGGGTCATAAAGCATCTTCTAAATCAGTCTTTGCACCCAGGGCTTGAGGTCCAGACTGCTAACTTAACTATCATTTCTTGTGTTCATGTTTTGGTTGCACATGTGATTGGTGTGCCTCAACCTATAAAAACTAAAATCACCCTTCAATACTCATCACCTTTTGGTATACTTTGTTTTTTGAGTTACAAGTACCTAGGGCAACAGATTTTCATTCAACTCACAAGAAATCACATTGCAGGAAAAAATTCTACAAAAATGAATTGTCCTTCTGTTTTGTTATTTCACTTTTTTAAATTTCAAAGTAGCCTCAGAAGGTACTAATATCTTGCTGTTTCCAGAAATACTTGAACCTACACCAACGCCAAAACAAACACGAAGAAACAAGATTACTAATCTTGTTTTATAAGATTCTGAATAATAAATTGTGAATAAAGAAATCTTTTAGAAGAAACTTCATGAACAATTAGATAAATGGCAGGGCTTAAGTAAGAGAGACATCCAGCATATTGTCACCAACTCCTATGACATCTGCACCATCAGTATCTTTCGATTCCATTACTCTCTCACCACCCTAGCTACAATCAACTCTTACTTAGACATCTTCAAAATCTTCAGAATAGCTTTCCACACTGCAAACTCCCTTGCAACAGTGCTTCACCTTAAAGTCTCACCATGAGCCCAACCATACTGTTTCCTGGCTTACAACCTTTTACTGGCTTCTCCTTGGTCTAAGGAAAAAGACCAAAACCAACCTCTAGCCTAAAAGGCTTTGCACTGCATGGCCTATGCAAGCCCAACATTTCTTCCTACCAACCTTCCTTCATTCCTATGCTCCTACATGACTCATCATTAAACCCATTCTCCACCCTCTAGCTGAGACAATCACCTTTGAAATATCAATTCAAACATCTCTTCCAGAGGGTAGCCTTCCCTGACCCACCAGGCTATGGTAATTACCTTGTTTTGTGCTCCTTTGGCACTATTTTCCTTCCCTCCATTTCTTTGATTGTTACTATGCATTCATTTATGCAATTACAAGAGTATACAGTGTCTAACACTGTGCCTGACAAATATACACCATAAATGATTATTTATCATAACCCACTTTACAATTACTCAGAAACATGCACTGCCATGCTGACAACTGGAGTTGCTTTCTAAAATTGCCAAGAGACTATTTAATTTCCCAAATTAAGGTGAGCATTATATGATCCCATTAAACGATTTCACAGTTAAATGTGCCAGGAAATAGGGTATTATTGGGGAAAATCACTGATCTTATCATATTCATGAGAAATTTTAATGTATCACAAGTATATATTGGATCACTGAAAAAAAGCAATCGAGTCCTTCATTTTCCCCCTATTTCCACATAAACACCATAAAAATTAGACCACAACTCTTTCCATATACAATCTAAGCTATCCAAGCATATTATACTCTTGAAAAGTCAAAAAATGCTCTTAATAACTCTGGTCATTAAAAAGTCCCTCATCACACCAAATACTTCCCTTAGGCTCTGATTAGGCTTATCTTTCAAAATGTTTATCCAGGTTTAAACTTTCATAACTGATCCTCTCCTTTAGTTACATCCTGATAATTCTGCCACAGTTGGCGGTAACTCAAAAAGTTCACCATCAGTATTGTATCCAACGCTATCTGTCAAGCAGGTCAGATTAAACTCCACAAAAACCAGGTATCCAATGAAAATAAACAGCTTAGTTAAAACCTGAGGGGATCATAACACCATTCAATTTAGACCACTGCACACAATAAATACTTCATAAATATATGTTGGATTGAATTCCAATGCTACTGTATTTTTCCTGTGATTTTTCGTACAGCTCTTAAGTATAGAGATCAATTATTTACAGGGGGGAAAGCCAGCACCACAATACTGCATTCCAGGCAATTTTATGATGAGTAAATAAGACATGATTTCTATAACAAATGCTGCCAAGTCTGCTGGAATGGTACAAGATGGAAAATAATTATCAAATAACACCACCAACAGCTTCTTTCAAACATTCGTAACTGAAATATTTTCTGAGGACATAATGTATGCTAGGAAATGTTCTAAGCCCTTGAGAAAATTTAGTAAATAAATCAAAGAACTCTGAACTTTTTAGGCTTACCTCCTGGCAGGGAAGAGAGACAATAAACAAACAATAAGTTCACAAATTATGTTAAAGGTGAAAAGTCTGTGGGAAAAAAAATGGAACAGGATAAGGGGATCGTAGTGATGCTGCAGTGGGGGTGATTAAAATTATGAATAAAGTTATCAGGCTTCACTTGGGCAAAGATTTGAAGCAGGGAAGAGGAATCAGTCACATGAGTACCTGCAGAAGGGGCATTCCAGGCAGAAGGAAGGCCTGTGAAAGTCTCTGGGGCAGAAGAGTACCTGGCATATCCAAGAAACAGGGGTGACATCACTGCAGATGGAATGGAGTAAGCCAGCAGGAGGATGGCGGGAGATGAGGGTCCAGTCAGTACAGAACCTGAGCCCAGTGTAAAGCCTCTGGCTTTTTCTCAGGGACTGGGGAGCCTGTGTCATGTACTAAATGCAACCTACAGGGAGGCGAGGAAGAAGCAGGGTGACCTCACAGGACCACTGCAACCATTCAACAGATGTGAGGGTGACTCCGACCGCAGTGGGAACAGTGGAGGCAGAGACAAATGATCAAATCCTGGATATGCTTTGCACTGATCTAGGGCCTATTATGTTCCAGAAGCTGTGATAAGTAGTCACAAGTTTATTTCATGTGTTCCATCAACATGTCTACCTTTTCTAGCCTACTGCCAAATAAAATGTTAACTGTATTATTTTTCTTTCTTACAGCAAATATGTAGATAGTAGAACAAATGAGCTAAGAGAATCCAAAGAAAACCAGCCCATATCTGTGGTCTCACACTGAGTCTACATTTTTTCATTTTAAAAATGCAGGTAGTGCTCAGTTTGCACATTAGCACAGGACTCTAAAAATGACCATGCAAAGCAATCTCTGGGAGAATTACTTACGAATTGTTCCTTGATCTTTACAACTCTCCCTAGTATCAGTTATGAAAGTACAGAAAATAAGATAGCAAAACTAATATTGGTTTAGCATGCTGTAATTTACTACATTAGAAATATGGAGAATGGAAAGTGTTTTATTTCTTCAGAAAACACTTATCAAGAGTAGTCTGAACGGCGCTTGCCTTATCCTTCTCATGGTAACTTTCCCTGGAGAACATACATCTCTTCAAATGTCACGGCCAGTGGTTATAATCCCACATTTTTCAGCATTTTCAATGTTATAAAGTATCACAGAGTTCTTTATTATGAACATCTTGTCACTGTCACTTCCTCTGGGACATCTTCATCCTCTTTGTCACATCTGTTTCCCTCACTTTTGTCAGTAAGCTCACCTTCACTCCGTTCTCTGGCTACACGGCTGTATTTTCTCAAGCAGCTATAGTGTCCACACTCCTGCATTCAGATACTGCCTCTACAACTCTATGTTCAATCGGAATTTCATTTTCCCCACCTTTTGTTTCACTACCAGACCTTCACCTTTGTTAGGCAATTCCCATGTATCCATCTGTGTAACATGCCCTGTGCCTTGATCACAGGGAGATAAGGAGGGAATACACCAACACACTTGCTGCCTGTGTGTGAACCACTGACTCTGAGAGAAGCAATGTGATTGGCCATGGATCTAATAGGCATCTGGTATCTAGTAGGAATTCACAAACTCAAGAGCCAGCAATGAAGTCTGTACCTTATGCAATCACTCATACTGAAGAGATCACGGTAAATGAATGAGCCATTACGTTGGGGTATCTGTGCTATTCAGTTCAATGATGCTAACGGCAAGTTGTACAGATCACAACCATGCCAGGTGCAGCCCGCCTGTGTTTATTGAGAACCTGCTAAAGACAAAGCAACTTGAACATAATATATTTTGAATGTAGAAGTTGGAAAAAACTGCTAACAAATTATATGAAAGGAAAAAACCTGAAAGCTTTGTTTAATAAATTGCAATTGTGCAACTGGAAAAAATCCAACTGTCACACTGGAGAGAAACTCTGTAAACGGAGTAAATTTGAAAGAGCCTATAAAATCAGTTTTAACTTTTATACCCACTCAAAAACTCACAAAAGACACTCTATGAATGTGTTCCCTGTGGAAGAGCTTTCAGTTACCACACATCCTATTAAGTACATGAGCAAATTCACACTGGTGAAAAAAACACAAGAATGTTATCTCTCTGGAAAAGTCTTTAATACATACTCTGTCCTTAGATAACATCAGATCCTTCACACTAGAGAGAAACCCTATAAATGCAATGAATATGGAAGAGCCTTCAGGCAGAGCACACAACTTTATAGAAACAAGATAATCCACACAGAGGGGTGAATTGCACGAATATAACTATTACGAGAGAAGTGTCAGCCAAAACACCAACCTTTGTGCACAACTTAGGTAAATCAGAATACCTTGAATGCAACTAAAAATGTAGACTACAAAAAAATGCACCTTAACTATTATATATCAAAATGTGTAAGTATATGACAGGAATGAATGAAAATACAGATAAATATGTAATTTGTTAATTAAAATTACATATGAAAAGTCAACTATAAGGTTTAAAGGTTTTAAATTGTGAAAGGCAAATTTTAAGACTTTTAGAAGAAAATATGAGTGAATATCAATATTAGTTTATAATTAGAAAGGATTTTTCAAGCAAGACACAACACAAAAGGAAAGACTGATAAATTCACCTTCATTAAAATTAAGAACTTCTGTTCAATAAAAGTCACCACAAAATAAAATGAAAAACCAAAAACTATGGAAGATATTTGAAATACATATGTAAGATAAATGAATATAAAGAAATTATTAAAATCACTGAGGAAAATAATAGGAAAAAGGCATAAAGAGCATTTCACAGTAGAAAAAATATAAATGGTGAATTAACACATGAAAAGAGGTTACAAGTGACTAGAATATCAGTAGTTCAAGAAATATAGGTACTAGCAATTAGAGAACTAGAGAATAAAAGCAAAATAAAATCTATTTTCTACTCTTCAGAGTGGAATAAAAGAAGTCTGACAGTACTAAGTGTTGACAAAAATGTGGAAAAATAGGAACTTTTATGCCCTCCTGAGAGGAAAGTAAATTATCTATATTAAGAAGAAAAACCCTTTAGAAAACAACTTGACATAGAAGTTGAAAATGGGAATACCATTTAACCCGGCAGTTCCATTCCTAGATAAATTCACTAAGAAAAAAACTCATTTATTTGTATGAGAAAGCATGTATAAGAATGTTAATTATGGCACCAAAATCATGAATGAGAAAATGGTGCTAACTATAAAATTCAGCAGAAGAAGCAAGAAGAGTAAGTCAGCAGTAAGATGGATAACATCTTCAAGGAATAAGCTGAGGTAAGCGTTTCAGAACTGAGGCCACAGTCAATGTGCACTGGGGGAGCGCTCTTCTGTGGTGCTAACACAAGATGCAGGGGCACACGGTGACCTCAAGGATCCAAGCAGAGCCGGACATTCATAAAAACAGTCACAGGTCTTGGAAAAAGATAGGAACCATGACATCAAGTGCTACTGAAGGATGCCAGAGTCCACAAGTTACTAATTCAAAACCTCCAGCCAAAAGACACGCTTTGCAATAAAACTAAAGGCACCAAAGACAAAAGGAAAGACTTGCAATATCCCAGTAACGCACAAGAAGGTCTGTGAAAGATTCCTAAAACACAGAAGGGACCCATGACCTGACACTACAGACGTTTGGGGGAAAATCTATTTTTAGCAATATATTTATTTACAATGATATGATCCCATCTGAACTGCAATGTGACTGTCCAGCACTCAGGGTCTCACTAGCAAATGGATCGAATATCCTTCAAGGTCGCTTCCAGCCCTCATATTCTATGGTTTTGTGGAAAAAGGCAAAAGGAGAGAAGGGAATCTCTCTCCCGTACAAATTAAAAGAGAGAAATTAAATGTACCTTTCAAACTTTTACTGTATATGCCTATCTCTTGAGCCACCACCCTTTCCTGGTGAGAGAAAACTAGAGGCTATATCATTAGTATCCTCATGTTTTTGTGTTATGTAGGCATTTTTTTATGTAAGACCATAGTAATACCTATTTTAATCTCATGAAAAAAATACAGTTACTGAAATAATCTACTGCTCTGTGCTGATGAATATTAAGCAAAAGTAAATGTACAAAATGTCACATAAGAGTTTATAGCCTGTGATGACAGCATTAGCCATGTGTCTGAGTAATGTCAGCTGGACATTGTCTTGAAAGGAGTCAGACAGAAACATACAAATATCAGAGATGATCAAGACATCAGACCTCTCAATTTCCAACAGTCACAAGAGGCATCTATCCAAACATCAGGTAGAAGGCAGAATGCTTCCCCTGAGCAAATAAACATTTCATCAACGCCTTTCTATTCTCAGTTTAGTAGGAAATATCACGTCCACCAGAAATGAACTTTACCTGTTTCACCTGTAATACCCTAAATTAAGAACTGCATCCGGGTAGGATAAATTTATGTCACCAATAATCTCTGAGTAGACCTTTTAGTATTCTCTAATAGTTTCACTGTCACCAACTACCTAATCCAAAGTCAGACTCTGCTGGTCTTCCCACAGGCCAGTAGCAGTCTTATTACTGACAAGAGTTTTCAGTTTCCTGCCAACTGAGACGTAACAAAAATTAAAGCTGGAAAAGCTTCTAAAGAGGTCTGAAATGCCTATCTTGAATGTCATAGAAACATAAAACATGATATAGATAATCCTTTTTTCTTATGAAGAGCCACAAATAATGATCACATTTTAACAGGTCTATATTCTGCTTGAATCTAATATGCACAAAATGTGAATTTTTCTTCCTCAAAATTTTGCTATTTTCCATTTGCTCCTTATCTCCATAAGTAGCACTGCCAATCAAAGTAATTAAAATCAGACAACTTTGGAAGTCAGAAAAAGAAAGACAAATACCATATATCACATATGTGGACTGTAAAACAGGACACAAATGAACACGTCTACGGAACAGAACCAGACTCACAGACACAGGGAACAGATCTGTGGTTGCCTAGGGGGACAGGGTGGTGGGATGGATTGGGAGTTCGGGATTAGCAGATGCAAACTGTTGTATATAGAGTGGATAAAAAACAAGGTCCTACTGTATACCACAGAGGACTAGATTCAACATCCTGTGATAAACCATAAATATGAAAAAGGATGCATGTGAGTCACTTTGCTGTACAGCAGTACTTAACACAACATTGCCATTAAATTAAATCTCAATCCAAAATATCAATAAACTAAAAAGAAATCAGACAGTTAGGAATTATCTTTATTATTTCCTTCTACTCACTGGCCATGTTCCTTTCACGTGGCCCACTGTCACACCAGGCCCCGTGTAACTGATCTTTCTCATGGTTCATTAGACCCTGCACACTCGATTTTCTCCCATCTCTACAACAAAATCTCACAAGTTCCCCCACTTTGTCACAATCCAGATATATATGTTACCTTCCTTTTTGTATCTTAAACTTTTTTGCTTGTTTTTCCCTTTACCAGGAATGTTCATCCTCAGGACCTTTGCAAAGTCTGTTCTTTCCCATCCTTGAGGTCTTCACTTACACTCCTCTCCTCTCCTTATCACCCTACCCATCCTCTTTCTCGTTCCTTTATAACATGCATCACACTCTGTAACTTCTTTATTTAACTGTCTTCTGCCCTGTCTTCCGTATATTCCATGAAGAAAGGGACTCTGTCTACCTTGTTCATACTGCATCCCTAGGACCCACGGCATAGAAGATATTCAAAAAGGACATCTGAAGAGTAAAAGAATAAATGTATTACTCCTCTATCTTTAAAGAAAAGGCAGTTGCCATGTATTATACGCTGGGATGACCTCCTCTCTAGGGGCAGCTAACAGTCATTAAGCAAGCCTGTTCCAAGAATAACACATTTTCTCAATGACACATTAAGGCAAGGGCCATGTCAGTTCTGTTCATTAGCTTCCATCCAACATAGACCACAGCATCTGGCACAATCTAGTCACAATGCAATACATAAACAAATGAAGAGATATATGAGTTACGTATTGATGCTTAAAGAGATGGGAACACCAGACCATCTGAACTGCCTCTTGAGAAATCTGTATGCAGGTCAGAAAGCAACAGTTAGAACTAGAGGGACCTGAACAACAGACTGGTTCCAAGTAGGAAAAGGAGTACGTCAAAGTTGTACATTGTCACCCTGCTTATTTAACTTATATGCAGAGTACATCATGAGAAACGCTGGGCTGGATGAAGCACAAGCTGGAATCAAGACTGTGGGAGAAATATTAATAACCTCAGATATGCACATGACACCACCCTTATGGTGGAAAACGAAGAAGAATTAAAGAGCCTCTTGATTAAAGTGAAAGAGAAGAGTGAAAAAGTTGG